ACCCATAGACTCACCACCACCACCACAGACACCCATAGACTCACTACCACCACCACCACAGACACCCACAGACTCACCATCACCACCACAGACACCCATAGACTCACCACCATCACCACCACAGACACCCATAGACTCACCACCACCACCACAGACACCCATAGATAGACTCACCACCACCACCAGAGACACCCATAGACTCACCACCATCACCACCACAGACACCCATAGACTCACCACCATCACCACCACAGACACCCATAGACTAACCACCATCACCACCACAGACACCCATAGACTCACCACCAACACCACCACAGACACCCATAGACTCACCACCATCACCACCACAGACACCCATACTCACCACCAACACCACCATAGACACCCATAGACTCACCACCATCACCACAGACACCCATAGACTCACCACCACCAAAGACAACCATAGACTCACCACCACCACCACCACAGACACCCATAGACGCACCACCATCACCACCACAGACACCCATAGACTCACCACCAACACCACCACAGACACCCATAGACTCACCACCAACACCACCACAGACACCCATAGAATCACCACCACCACCACCACAAACACCCATAGACTCACCACCAACACCACCAGACACCCATAGACTCACCACCACCACCACCAACACAGACACCCATAGACTCACCACTACCACGACACCCATAGACTCACCACCAACACCACCAGACACCCATAGACTCACCACCATCACCACCACAGACACCCATAGACTCACCACCATCACCACCACAGACACCCATAGACTCACCACCATCACCACCACAGACACCCATAGACTCACCACCATCACCACCACAGACACCCATAGACTCACCACCATCACCACCACAGACACCCATAGACTCACCACCATCACCACCAGACACCCATAGACTCACCACCACCACAGACACCCATAGACTCACCACCACCACCACAGACACCCATAGACTCACCACCACCACCACAGACACCCATAGACTCACCACCATCACCACAGACACCCATAGACTCACCACCACCACTATAGACACCCATAGACTCACCACCACCAACACCACAGACACCCATAGACTCACCACCACCACCAGACACCCATAGACTCACCACCACCACCACAGACACCCATAGACTCACCACCACCACCACCACAGACACCCATAGACTAACCACCACGGACACCCATAAACTCACCTCCACCATAGACACCCATAGACTCACCACCACCACCACAGACACCCATAGACTCACCACCACCACCACCACCACAGACACCAATAGACTCACCACCACCACCACAGACACCCATAGACACACCACCACCACCAACACCACCACCACAGACACCCATAGACTCACCACCACCATAGACACCCATATACTCACCACCACCACAGACACCCATAGACTCACCACCATCACCACCACAGACACCCATAGACTCACCACCATCACCACCACAGACACCCATAGACTCACCACCACCACCACCACAGACACCCAGACTCACCACCACCACCACAGACACCCATAGACTCACCACCACCACCACAGACACCCATAGACTCACTACCACCACCACCACAGACACCCACAGACTCACCATCACCACCACAGACACCCATAGACTCACCACCATCACCACCACAGACACCCATAGACTCACCACCACCACCACAGACACCCATAGACTCACCACCACCACCAGAGACACCCATAGACTCACCACCATCACCACCACAGACACCCATAGACTCACCACCATCACCACCACAGACACCCATAGACTAACCACCATCACCACCACAGACACCCATAGACTCACCACCAACACCACCACAGACACCCATAGACTCACCACCATCACCACCACAGACACCCATACTCACCACCAACACCACCATAGACACCCATAGACTCACCACCATCACCACAGACACCCATAGACTCACCACCACCAAAGACAACCATAGACTCACCACCACCACCACAGACACCCATAGACTCACCACCATCACCACCACAGACACCCATAGACTCACCACCAACACCACCACAGACACCCATAGACTCACCACCAACACCACCACAGACACCCATAGAATCACCACCACCACCACCACAAACACCCATAGACTCACCACCAACACCACCAGACACCCATAGACTCACCACCACCACCACAGACACCCATAGACTCACCACCACCACGACACCCATAGACTCACCACCAACACCACCAGACACCCATAGACTCACCACCATCACCACCACAGACACCCATAGACTCACCACCATCACCACCATAGACACCCATAGACTCACCACCATCACCACCACAGACACCCATAGACTCACCACCATCACCACCACAGACACCCATAGACTCACCACCATCACCACCAGACACCCATAGACTCACCACCACCACAGACACCCATAGACTCACCACCACCACCACCACAGACACCCATAGACTCACCACCACCACCACAGACACCCATAGACTCACCACCATCACCACAGACACCCATAGACTCACCACCACCACTATAGACACCCATAGACTCACCACCACCAACACCACAGACACCCATAGACGCACCACCACCACCAGACACCCATAGACTCACCACCACCATAGCCACCCATAGACTCACCACCACCAACACCACAGACACCCATAGACGCACCACCACCACAGACACCCATAGACTCACCACCACCATAGCCACCCATAGACTCACCACCACCACCACAGACACCCATAGACTCACCACCAACACCACCACCACCACCACAGACACCCATAGACTCACCACCACCACCACAGACACCCATAGACTCACCACCAACACCACCACCACCACAGACACCCATAGACTCACCACCACCACCACCACAGACACCCATAGACTCACCACCAACACCACCACCACCACAGACACCCATAGACTCACCACCACCACAGACACCCATAGACTCACCACCACCACCACAGACACCCATAGACTCACCACCACCACAGACACCCATAGACTCACCACCACCACCACCACAGACACCCATAGACTCACTACCACCACCACCACCACAGACACCCATAGACTCACCACCACCACAGACACCCATAGACTCACCACCACCACCACCACAGACACCCATAGACTCACCACCACCACAGACACCCATAGACTCACCACCACCACCACCACAGACACCCAGACTCACCACCAACACCACCACCACCACAGACACCCATAGACTCACCACCACCACAGACACCCATAGACTCACCACCACCACCACAGACACCCATAGACTCACCACCATCAAGTCTGTAGGAATGTTTATTTATTTGTCTCTGCTGAACATTAATAGTCGTCTTTAATTTGTTACAAAAACAGCAGCACCGCCACTCAGCCATCCACAGCGGCAAGTGAGTGGGGAGTGGGTGAGTGAGTGGGTGAGTGAGTGGGTGAGTGGGTGAGTGAGTGGGTGCGTGAGTGAGTGGGTGAGTGAGTGAGTGGGTGAGTGTGTGAGTGAGTGGGTGGGTGAGTGAGTGAGTGGGTGAGTGAGTGGGTGAGTTGGTGGGTGGGTGAGTGAGTGAGTGAGTGGGTGAGTGAGTGGGTGAGTGAGTGGTGGGTGAGTGGGTGAGTGGGTGGGTGAGTGAGTAAGTGGGTGGGTGAGTGGTTGAGTGAGTGGGTGAGTGGGTGAGTGGGTGGGTGAGTGGGTGGGTGAGTGGTTGGGTGAGTGGGTGGGTGGGTGAGTGAGTGGGTGAGTGAGTGGGTGAGTGAGTGAGTGAGAGAGTGAGTGGGTGAGTGGGTGGGTGGGTGAGTGAGTGGGTGAGTGAGTGGGTGAGTGGTTGAGTGAGTGGGTGAGTGGGTGAGTGGGTGGGTGAGTGGGTGGGTGAGTGGTTGGGTGAGTGGGTGGGTGGGTGGGTGAGTGAGTGGGTGAGTGAGTGAGTGAGAGAGTGAGTGGGTGAGTGGGTGGGTGGGTGAGTGAGTGGGTGAGTGAGTGAGAGAGTGAGAGGGTGAGTGAGAGGGTGAGTGGGTGAGTGAGTGAGTGAGTGGGTGAGTGAGTGGGTGAGTGAGAGCGTGAGTGGGTGAGTGAGTGGGTGAGTGGGTGAGTGAGTGGGTGAGTGGGTGAGTGGGTAAGTGGGCAAGTGAGTGAGTGAGTGAGTGGGCAAGTGAGTGAGTGAGTGGGTGAGTGAGCGGGTGAGTGAGCGAGTGGGTGGGTGAGTGGGTGAGTGAGTGAGTGGGTGAGTGAGTGGGTGGGTGAGTGGGTGGGTGGGTGAGTGGGTAGGTGAGTGGGTGATTGGGTGGTGAGTGAGTGGATGAGTGAGTGAGTGAGTTGGATGAGTGAGTGGGTGAGTGGATGAGTGAGTGAGTGGGTGAGTGTGTGGGTGGGTGAGTGAGTGGGTGAGTGAGTGGGTGAGTGGGTGAGTGAGTGGGTGAATGGGTGATTGGGTGGTGAGTGGGTGAGTGAGTGACTGAGTGGCAGGATATCCATGCTCACTGCCAGTATCAATAAAATAAATAACGATTACAAAATAATCACGCCGCACTATACTACACTATACACTACACCACACACTACACGCTACACTACACTATACACTAGACTATTCACTACACACTACATGCTACACTACACTATACACAACTATACACTACACTACACACTACACTATACACCACACTAAACTACATACTATACACTACACACCACATACCACACTATACACTACACTACTACACTATACACTACACTACTACACTATACACTACACTACTACATTATACACTACACTATACACTACACACTACACTACACACTATACACTACACTACTACACACTACACTACTACACACTACACTATACACTACACTATACACTACACTATACTACACACTATACACTGCACTATACACTACACTACTACACACTACACTATACACTACACTATACACTACACTTCAACCAGGAAGTGCCTTCTTATTGGTCGAGACGGCTCCGCCCCACCCCCACCACCTCGTGACCCCAGAGGAGGCTGCCGATTGGACGAGGAGGAGAGCCTCTGGACTCTCTCAATATTCCTGCAACAGATGGGGGAGGGGTCACGTGGGGGGGAGGAGGGGTCACATGGGGGGGAGGAGGGGTCACGTGGGGGGGGTCACGTGGGGGGGGGGAGGGGTCACGTGGGGGGGGAGGGGTCACGTGGGGGGGGAGGGGTCACGTGGGGGGGGAGGGGTCACGTGGGGGGGGGGGGGGGGGGGTCACGTGGGGGGGGGGGGGGGGAGGGGTCACGTGGGGGGGGTCACGTGGGGGGGGGAGGGGTCACGTGGGGGGGGGGTCACGTGGGGGGGGGGGGGGGGGGGGGGGAGGGGTCACGTGGGGGGGGGTCACGTGGGGGGGGGGGAGGGGTCACGTGGGGGGGGAGGGGTCATGTTGGGGGGGAGGGGTCACGTGGGGGGGGGGGGGAGGGGGGTCACGTGGGGGGGGAGAGGTCATGTGGGGGGGGTCACGTGGGGGGGGGGAGAGGTCACGTGGGGGGGGTCACGTGGGGGGGGGAGGGGTCACGTGGGGGGGGTCACGTGGGGGGGGGAGGGGTCACGTGGGGGGGGGGGGGGGTCACGTGGGGGGGGGTCACATGGGGGGGGGGAGGGGTCACGTGGGGGGGGTCACGTGGGGGGGGGAGGGGTCACGTGGGGGGGAGGGGTCACGTGGGGGGGGAGGGGTCACGTGGGGGGGGTCACGTGGGGGGGGAGGGGTCACGTGTGGGGGGAGGGGTCACGTGGGGGGGGTCACGTGGGGGGGGGAGGGGTCACGTGGGGGGGGGGGGGTCACGTGGGGGGGGAAGGGGTCACGTGGGGGGGGGGGGGGGGGGGGGGGAGGGGTCACGTGGGGGGTGTAACGAGGTGACCCTCACCATTTTCGGCTTCTTGTGGGACTTTGCGTCGACCCTGCGATGAGACGTTACCATGGTTACCATGGTTACCCCGTAACCACGGGCAGCCAATCATCCTAATGGCAATAGCTACCCCGCTGTTACCACGGATACGGTAACCAGTTACCCGGTAACCATGGCTACGAGTTACTGAAACGCGGTAACCACAGTTAACCCACATTTCTGCGCCGGTTACCATGGCAACGTCGCCCCGGTTTCCGTGGTTACCGCTGGGGCCCCGTGGCGACCGTGGAACGGCATCGCAAAATGGTTACCGTGGCAATGAGCGAAATATCATCACGCTGGTTGCCACGGTTACCGCCCTACGCGTATTTGGGTCACCGTGGCAACTGGCCACCCCCCCCCCGGTTACAGGTTACCATGGTAACCGACACCCCCCCCCCCCCCCGGTTACAGGTTGCCATGGTAACCGGCCACCACCACAAACGGCTCAGCTATTTCCGCCCTGGGTAAGTGGTTGCTATGGCAACGACCTCCCAGGGGTAACCAGTTCCCACGGCAACCATTAACCCTCCCTGCCAACTGGTTACCATAGCAACGTCCCCCACTCCCTTGGCAACCCGTTTCCATGGCAACCAGCTACCACCCACGAGTAATGGGTTGCTAGGGTAACCCATCCCCCGGACGGGTAACTGGTTGCCATGGCGACCGGGGTAACTTACTCGTAGTCAACGTCGTAGAGAGTGGAGGGGCTGTAACACAGAAAGGGAGGGTGGGGGGAGATGTTAGGTGCCAGGCTAGGTGCACCACACACACACCCACCCAGTCACCCAGACACTCATTCACTCAGCCACTCACTCACTCAGTCACTCACTCACCCACTCACTCACTCACCCACCCACCCACCCACCCACTCACCCACCCACCCACCCACTCACCCACCCACCCACCCACTCACCCACCCACTCACCCACTCACTCACTCACTCACCCACCCACTCACTCACCCACCCACCCACTCACCCACTCACTCACTCACCCACCCACTCACCCACCCACTCATCCACCCACTCACCCACCCACCCACCAACCACCCACCCACCACCCACCCACCACCCACCATCCACCCACTAACCCACCCACTAACCCACCCACTAACCCACCCACCACCCACCCACCACCCACCCACCCATCTGTGTCTCAGCTTGACCCACCCACCCACTCACCACCCACCCACTCACCCACCCACTCACCCACCACCCACCACCTACCCACCCACCACCCACTCACCACCCACCACCCACCACCCACTCACCACCCACCACCCACCACCCACTCACTCACCACCCACCCACCCACTCACCACCCACCCACCCACTCACCACCCACTCACCCACCCACCCACTCACCACCCACCCACCCACCACCCACCCACCACCCACCCACCCACCACTCACCCACCACCCACCCACCACCCACCCACCACCCACCCACTCACCACCCACCACCCACTCACCACTCACCCACCACCCACTCACCACTCACCCACCACCCACTCACCACTCACCCACCCACCCACTCACCACCCACCCACCCACCACCCACCCACCCACCACCCACCCACCCACCACCCACCCACCCACCCACCACCCACCCACCCACCACCCACCCACCTGTGTCTCAGCTTGACTTTGCGTTTCTTGTGAGTGCCGTGGCCTGAAGGCGGAGCCTCCCCCGCTAGCGCCCCAGTGCATGCTGGGAGTGCCGTGCCCTTGGGGGGTTTCACGTCACCTTTGACCCCCGCAAACAGCAGCAGGAGCAGCAGCAGTAGTATCAGTAGTAGTAGTATCAGTAGTAGTAGTATCAGTAGTAGTATCAGTAGTAGTAGTATCAGTAGTAGTAGCAGTAGTAGTAGTAGTATCAGTAGTAGTAGTATCAGTAGTAGTATCAGTAGTAGTAGTATCAGTAGTAGTATCAGTAGTAGCAGTAGTAGTAGTATCAGTAGTAGTATCAGTAGTAGTAGTATCAGTAGTAGTAGTATCAGTTATAGTATCAGTAGTAGTAGTAGTACCAGTAGTAGTATCAGTAGTAGTAGTAGCAGTAGTATCAATAGTAGTAGTATCAGTAGCAGTAGTAGCAGTAGTATCAGTAGTAGTAGTAGCAGTAGTATCAGTAGTAGTAGTATCAGTAGCAGTAGTAGTATCAGTAGTAGTAGTATCAGTAGCAGTAGTATCAGTAGTAGTAGTATCAGTAGCAGTAGTATCAGTAGTAGTAGTATCAGTAGCAGTAGTAGTATCAGTAGTAGTAGTATCAGTAGTAGTAGCAGTAGTATCAGTAGTAGTAGTAGCAGTAGTATCAGTAGTAGTAGTATCAGTAGCAGTAGTAGTATCAGTAGTAGTATCAGTAGCAGTAGCATCAGTAGTATTATCAGTAGCAGTAGTATCAGTAGTAGTAGTATCAGTAGCAGTAGTATCAGTAGTAGTAGTATCAGTAGCAGTAGTATCAGTAGTAGTAGCAGTAGTATCAGTAGTAGTAGTATCAGTAGCAGGAGTATCAGTAGTAGTACCATCAGTAGTAGTAGTAGCATCAGTAGCAGTAGTAGTATCAGTAGTAGTAGTATCAGAAGCAGTAGTATCAGTAGTAGTAGTATCAGTAGCAGTAGTAGTATCAGTAGTAGTAGTACCATCAGTAGTAGTAGCATCAGTAGTAGTAGTAGCAGTAGTATCATCAGTAGTAGCAGTACTAGTAGCATCAGTAGTAGTATCAGTAGTAGTAGCATTAACATCATCACCACCACCACAACCACCAAAAATACCACCGCCACCACCGCCACCACCACCACCACCGCCACCACCACCATCACCGCCATCATCACCACCACCACCACCATCACCACCACCACCACCATAACCACCACCACCACCACCATCACCACCACCACCACCATCACCACCACAACCACCACAACCACCACCACCATCACCACCATCACCACCACCACCACCATCACCACCATCACCACCACCATCACCACCATCACCACCACCATCACCACCACCACCACCATCACCACCACCATCACCACCACCACCATCACCACCACCACCATCATCACCACCATCACCACCACCACCATCACCACCATCACCATCACCACCACCATCACCACCACCACCACCACCACATTTTGGCGGCCATGTTTGGGGCGTTACCTAGTGACGGGAGCTCTGACGTCGGTCCCTCCCCCTCTCCGGCGTTGCCACGGCGACCGCGCTCAGCCTCGCCCTGATTGGACGAGAGGTCAAGGGGAGACTCCGCCCCTTGCTCGGGCCCCAGCCCCTCCCCCTCTGCAACAACAAAGTGGAGGTGGTGATGGTGGTGGTGATGGTGGTGGTGATGGTGGTGGTGATGGTGGTGATGGTGATGGTGGTGATGGTGGTGATGGTGGTGATGATGGTGATGATGGAGGTGATGGTGGTGGTGGTGGTGATGGTGGTGGTGGTGGTGATGGTGGTGGTGGTCGTGGTGATGGTGATGGTGGTGATGGTGGTGGTGATGATGGAGGTGGTGGTGGTGGTGGTGATGATGGAGGTGATGGTGGTGATGGTGGTGGTGATGGTGGTGATGGTGGTGGTGGTGATGGTGGTGGTGGTGGTGATGGTGGTGGTGGTGGTGATGGTGGTGGTGATGGTGATGGTGGTGATGGTGGTGATGATGGTGGTGGTGATGGTGGTGGTGATGGTGGTGGTGATGGTGGTGATGATGGTGGTGGTGATGGTGGTGGTGATGGTGGTGGTGGTGATGGTGGTGATGGTGGTGGTGGTGATGGTGGTGATGGTGGTGGTGGTGGTGATGGTGGTGATGATGGTGATGGTGGTGGTGGTGATGGTGGTGGTGGTGATGGTGGTGATGATGGTGGTGGTGATGGTGGTGGTGATGATGGTGATGGTGGTGGTGATGGTGGTGATGGTGGTGGTGATGGTGATGATGGTGGTGGTGATGGTGATGGTGGTGGTGATGGTGGTGATTGTAGTGATGTTGTTGATGGTGGTGGTAGTGATGTTGTTGATGTTGTTGATGGTAGTGATGGTAGTGATGGTATTGATGGTAGTGATGTTGTTGATGTTGTTGATGGTAGTGATGATGTTGATGTTGTTTATGTTGTTGATGGTGGTGGTAGTGATGTTGTTGATGGTGGTGGTAGTGATGTTGTTGATGTTGTTGGTGGTAGTGATGTTGTTGATGTTGTTGATGATGTTGATGGTAGTGATGTTGTTGATGTTGATGTTGTTGATGGTAGTGATGTTGTTGATGTTGTTGATGGTGATGGTAGTGATGGTAGTGATGTTGTTGATGTTGTTGATTTTGATGTTGATATTGTGGGCGGGGTTGATGTCGTTGATGTTGTTGATGTTGATGTTGTTGATGTTGATGTTGTTGTTGGTGGTGGTAGTGATGTTGATGTTGTTGTTGATGGTAGTGATGTTGTTGATGTTGTTGATGTTGTTGTTCATGGTAGTGATGTAGTTGACGTTGGTGATGTTGTTGTTGATGTTGGTGATGTTGTTGTTGGTGATGTTGTTTATGTTGGTAATGGTGATGTTGTTGATGTTGATGTTGTTGATGTTGTTGATGTTGATGGTGGTGGTAGTGATGTTGGTGATGGTAGTGATGGTATTGATGGTAGTGATGTTGTTGATGTTGTTGATGGTAGTGATGATGTTGATGTTGTTGATGGTGGTGGTAGTGATGTTGTTGATGTTGTTGGTGGTAGTGATGTTGTTGATGTTGTTGACGCTGTTGATGGTAGTGATGTTTCGATTTAAAGCTTTCGTGACTGCAATGATTCATCTTCTTTGGTTCTTTCGGTAAAGTCACGTAGAATGAGAATAAAATAATAAATTGATAAAATAAAATAACACAATAATATTCTCACGACGTTTCGGCCACAACACAAGCGGCCTTCATCAGGTGAAGGGGGCGAGACTGTCTGGTAGGACAGCGCTGGAGTGAGAGAGCCACGTTCAGATCACGGCTTTTAAGCTGTGTGAGAGGAACAAAGAGCCTTGACAAAGGAATTAGCATAAAATTTAGCATTGAAATGGCTGAATGATTAGCTTGTGACTGGTCACAGAAATAGCTATGTTAAAAGTTAAAGCATACACATCCGCAGAGGCACCCATTGTTAAAAGGAATTAGCATAGAATTTAGCATTGAAATAGCTAAGTTAAGGCATACACATCCGCAGAGGCACCCCTTGACAATGGGATTAGCATAGAATTTAGCATTGAAATGGCTGAGTGATTCGCTTGTAACTGCTACAGAAATAGCTACGTTGAAGTCAGAGCATACACATTCACCGAGGCACTTAGTACAAATCAAACAGGAGAATTTAGCATTGAAATAACTAGGCGAATTTAGCATTGAAATAACTGGGTGATTTGCTAGTGACTGGTCACAGAAATGACTACACATCTGAGCTATTCACAGTACTATATAGTGAACCAATAAAAACTAAAATATAAATTACCTTCATGTTATCAATAAACTCTATATTCTCCAATCAGCTAAGCTACCAACCATAAGTCGTTATATATCACTGCTATATGGCGAAAAAATGGGTGGATTCTTACCCTCAAATTTCCGTACCACGGATAGCTACGGGCCCCGTTCAGACGGACGAGTTCGTCCATTGTCGGAACATAGGAGGGGGAGAGAGACAGCTGCGAGGCCCTAGTATACTCCATGTTGTAAACCATACCATTAACCGTGGTGTGAGAGGTATTAAGAGGCAATGCTGGCGAGAGAGCTGCGGTCTGAAGGTCATCGTAAAATTACAATTAATTCAGAACAGAAATTATTTAACACATCTTTCCAGTGGTTACTAAGCCTGAATCCATCTTCTCGGTTGAAATTGTCTCTGTGCTTGTATATGTGAATGGCCTCATGAACGAATCTCTCATGGTAGCCGGTTGGTTTGCAAAGAACCTCCGTCTTGGAGAAGTCAATGTCATGTGAGCCCACTGAATTGTAACAGTGATCTGCCACGGCAGAGGAGTTCGTCTTACCGTGTTTCAAGTCTGCTTTATGTTCGCGGATGCGGTCCGAGATATGTCTTTTGGTTTCTCCAATGTAGCTACTACCACAGAGGCACTTTAGTTTGTAAACGCCCGGGTACTGTATGTCTGGAAGAGCATCTTTTACAGATGGAACTAAATCACGGATTTTGTGTACTGTGTTGAATCGGACCTGGATCTTGTGTTTATTCAGGATTTTGGAGATCTTTTTAGTGACCCCTGCAATGTAGGGTAAGGTAATGGTTTTGAGTGGCTCCACAAGAGGATCCTTCTTCATGACTGGAGTGATGGCTTTGCGGATTGTGTAGTCGGAGTAGCCATTAGCCCTGAGAGCCTGGTGTACGTGCTTGAGTTCACTGGTAATGTGTTCCTGGTCGGAAATGCATTGGGCTCTATGGTATAGAGTCTTGATGAGGCAGTTCTTCTGGGATGGATGGTGGTGGGAATCCGGTTTCAAGTAAGCATCTGTATGGGTAGCTTTCCTGTAGACAGAGTGGCTCATTGAACCATCATGTCTCCTTTTAATTAAGACATCCAGAAAGGGTAGTTTGCCATCTTTTTCGACCTCCATGGTAAATCTGATGGCTGGGTGTATGGAATTGATGTGGTCGCGGAATTGGTCTAGAGCAGGCTGGCCATGTGGCCAGATGACAAAGGTGTCATCAACGTACCTCTTCCATAAGGTCGGCCGTAGAGTGGCAGTCTGGATGGCGTCAGTTTCAAATTTTTCCATGAATACGTTGGCTACAACCGGAGATAGGGGGGAGCCCATTGGGGTGCCCTCAGTTTGTTTGTAGAAAGTTCCATTCCAGGTGAAGTATGTGTTGGTTAAGCAATGTCTCACCAGGGGGGGTACATCAGTATGCAGTCCTTGATGAACCAGGTCTTCAATGATAGCGATGGTGTCAGGTACCGGGACTTTGGTGAACAGGGACACCACATCAAAACTGACAAGCAGGTCGTTTGGGGACAGGGAAATGTCTTTGATTGTCGATACCAGGTGAGTAGAATTTAGTACCGCAGAGGTGGTTTTTCCAGTGAAAGGTCGCAGTATAGGATCCTCTTGTGGAGCCACTCAAAACCATCACCTTACCCTACATTGCAGGGGTCACTAAAAAGATCTCCAAAATCCTGAATAAACACAAGATCCAGGTCCGATTCAACACAGTACACAAAATCCGTGATTTAGTTCCATCTGTAAAAGATGCTCTTCCAGACATACAGTACCCGGGCGTTTACAAACTAAAGTGCCTCTGTGGTAGTAGCTACATTGGAGAAACCAAAAGACATATCTCGGACCGCATCCGCGAACATAAAGCAGACTTGAAACACGGTAAGACGAACTCCTCTGCCGTGGCAGATCACTGTTACAATTCAGTGGGCTCACATGACATTGACTTCTCCAAGACGGAGGTTCTTTGCAAACCAACTGGCTACCATGAGAGATTCGTTCATGAGGCCATTCACATATACAAGCACAGAGACAATTTCAACCGAGAAGATGGATTCAGGCTTAGTAACCACTGGAAAGATGTGTTAAATCATTTCTGTTCTTAATTAATTGTAATTTTACGATGACCTTCAGACCGCAGCTCTTTCGCCAGCATTGCCTCTTAATACCTCTCACACCACGGTTAATGGTATGGTTTACAACATGGAGTATACTAGGGCCTCGCAGCTGTCTCTCTCCCCCTCCTCTGTTCCGACCATGGACGAACTCGTCCGTCTGAACGGGGCCCGTAGCTATCCGTGGTACGGAAATTTGAGGGTAAGAATCCACCCATTTTTTCGCCATATAGCATTGTGATATATAACGACTTATGGTTGGTAGCTTAGCTGATTGGAGAATATAGAGTTTATTGATAACATGAAGGTAATTTATATTTTAGTTTTTATTGGTTCACTATATAGTACTGTGAATAGCTCAGATGTGTAGTCATTTCTGTGACCAGTCACTAGCAAATCACCCAGTTATTTCAATGCTAAATTCGCCTAGTTATTTCAATGCTAAATTCTCCTGTTTGATTTGTACTAAGTGCCTCGGTGAATGTGTATGCTCTGACTTCAACGTAGCTATTTCTGTAGCAGTTACAAGCGAATCACTCAGCCATTTCAATGCTAAATTCTATGCTAATCCCATTGTCAAGGGGTGCCTCTGCGGATGTGTATGCCTTAACTTAGCTATTTCAATGCTAAATTCTATGCTAATTCCTTTTAACAATGGGTGCCTCTGCGGATGTGTATGCTTTAACTTTTAACATAGCTATTTC